ATACTTTTCCTGGATATTTGTGCAATGAACGAAGTTTTCCCAAGTACCACCCCATAAGGACAGTGAACTTGCCTAGGATCACCGCGAAATTCCGCTACAAACTCAACCATTCCTCGGCAGCTCGTGAGCGGCATGACCGCATCGCAAAAACCATGTCTCTTCATCAGAGACACACTATGTGCCATCACATACACATTCCGCTAAATTTATCGCCATTGGGATGCACGGCAACAGCTCACCTATCCACCGTGATGCTACCAGTTGGTTTGATGCACGTGCAGGCTGCAGCATAATCGCCATATTCAAGAACTCCCGCCATATGTTTTTACGTCGCGCTCAAAGCAAAACTACCGCTCATCATCACTAGTCCAGCTATGGTGAATGAAAACCACGGTGCCATGAAGGTGCACACACGAGCAACGCACACCTAGTCCTAGCGTAAGAGCATTCTGCCACAGCCGCTGCGAAATGCGATTGCGTCGTGTCGAACGCGATCCCGAAAGTACGCGCACAGTCAACGCGCACTTACTCAACTCAATATTTGATGCCATAACGACACGAACAACGATAGAAATGACGCAGTTCTTTAGTCATGTGCATGGCCGGCACAGTGCACACAGATTAAGAACGGACTACTGTTTGCCACAACCTGCAGGAAACCGTGGTCGCTATCGTAGCATTTATCGATAGCGTATACTATCCGAAAAGTGTGCAGCTAACACTGCCGTAGATTTAAGGTAATAAAGCAATAAAATGACAAGAAGGGTTACGGCTTTGTAGTCATTCACTTATGGCCACAGCAGTGCAGAGCTTCGGCACTTTCAGTAGCAGTTTTAGGGACGAAGCTCTTTATGGCGTGGCTTGTGCGTCCACCGTTGTGCATAACCTGTGGCACATACCCACATACCAGTGGCACATACCCGCATACCAGTGGCACATACCTGCCCTCGGGCACATATCGCATGTCCATACATTATAAAAAACGCAGCACGGGGCTCATGCTCTCGGTGTTATCATGCTCTCGGTGTTAACAAAGCCCTGACAGCAAAAATGTGGTACATAGTCTCGTTTAGTTTTTGGACAGTCCGCTGAATGGCGGTACTTGCATATGATGAATATATAATAAAAAAAGAAAGATGGCGGTATTTGAGATGTTCACTATACGGACAGACAGACGCACTGGCGGACAGACACTGGTGAATGGACGTACGAACAGATGCACGCGCAGACACATGGACAAATGCACGAACAGGCCCCCGTACGGATGGACTGAAGCACGTATGAATGAACTGATGCACGGATGCACGAACGAACGAACAGACACACAGACGAATTGACGGACACTTCGCCCCACTCATCATCATTTATTCCGTGGATATGCTGCGAATTTTTCAGTTCGCCTCTAGCAAAGCTTTGGCATGCTTGTTCACAGCTCTCCGCTCTTGACACGCCTCAAGAGTTGTCTAATATCGTATTTTCCTCTATATAACCCGTCCTGGCGTATAATCAGCAACCTCGTCTGCAAACCGCGGGAGGAAGAGAAAACTACCCGGATATTGTGACAAGGCTGCCTTCCTTGGAATGCCGTGAAGCCGTGCCGTATCAAAATATTTATATAACTCGCATTCCAACCACAGATCAAAATTTTTCCGTATATTTTGATCGTGTCATACAAGAGAATACGTTCACTCAGTCTGCGGCCAGATACGTTTAAGTTTGCGAGAGGTCAATGCATGTGCTTGCTGGGACCATTGCATGAGTTCATCATCCGATCTTGCTTAATATCGTGGTCTATAAATGAAATTTCTCTACAACGAAATGCCGCGACAAAGAATTTTTTCATCCATACCGTCAATGTTGTTGTAGCAGGATTCGACTCATGCACCATTATAATTTAGACACCGAAAAAACCCAAACGTTGAAGTCAGATCAAAAATGGGCTGACGAGTGATTGTGAGTGCACCAAAGCTTAAGAACAGTCAAAAAAAAGAAATCCTCACCATACTTGCAGATGTACACACTGTAGAGGAGGGGGGAGGGGACTCATACCCCCTGTGAAGTTGTTTGCACTGTGTTGCCCGCGTGTCTCGCCCAAAAGCCCCATTTCGGGTTACAACCACCGGGCGGTAGGAGGCGTTGTGTTCGCGTTGAGTACCACTATCATCATCATGGTTGTTACAATGGTAGCGCCAGTAGTTATCCTTGGTGGAAGGCAAGTCTTGGTGGCGGGCAAGAGTTGAGCGAGTCTCTTCTGCGCGTGGCGGTTGCCGCGAACGGTTGTCCGTAGTGTCGGTCCCCGGTGTGTGGCACGGCGGGCTGCACGTTGGACACCCTTGTGGTAAGTCAAGCGTTGGTGACGCCACCTTGGGTATGTTATTGTGCTTGTCATGTTATTGTATGTTTGTCATGGAGCGTATGGTAATGTCGCATACGGATGTCCTGGCGTGTTGTTAACGATTGATGCATCGATTCGGCGGACGATATTGTCATATAAATTAGTTAAATAAATGTATGTGCTATTTGGTTTGTACCTACTGTGTCCGTTCACTTCAAGAGCGTGGCGTGGCGCTCGCTCGCCAAATCGATACCCCGCACTGGCGCCCAACGTAGAGCTCTTGGAGCATGGGACAGCAGTTTTGCGGTTCGGTGCATGCCTTTGTTAGAGCCGAGGTAGAGTAGATCTAGGGAGACTTCTTTGCTAGCGTCAACGCTGTTCTTTGTTGAGAAGCGAGATCGGTATTTGTGACATGTTTGAACTTAACGCAGGTTGAGTTTTATTTTTTTTTCTGCTCGCAAGTTTTTTTTTCGTTGCTGTTGTGAAGAAGGCTTAGAGCACACGGTTTGTAGGCCAGGCCTAAAGTGAGTTCGGAAGCCTCGTGGGTGGTCCGATTTTCTGTAAATAGCTTCTTCTATCTCTTTGGGCTCAGAGAGCCGGGCGTCGTTGCTGTCTGGCATTGCGGCTCGATGTCTTGGCGGCGCTACACCGTCCAAGACGGTGCATGCTGATCGCTCGGTAAGCTGCTGTGTGCGGCAAGCGATAGGGCCACTTAACAGAGTATATGTCTCCTCGTGGCTGCCTCTTCTGCGTCTAGGCTGGGTGGATGCCAGTTGTTGCCGAGCAACTCATTAGGCCTAAGGCTCTGCGCAGCCGCCTGTCGCACGTGGCACAATTAGGTAGATCGTGGCGTTGAGGTGTTGCGCTCTGCTTCCCTCACATTTTTTTTATCTTGCAAAGCGTGAGTTAGCAAAATGTGATTTTTGTTTTATTTTAATGGGCGTCTCGGCCGCCGCCGATGTATTAGCTAGCAGTACTGACCATCGTACCACGTGAGCAAAAAGCCCGAAGCTCCTTTCCCTAGGCCCTGCTCCATTGTTTCTTTCGAGTGTTCTTGGAATGTACGCAGCGGGAGTATTGTAATCCACGGCGGACTGTCTTCTGCACATCGTCAGCCCCGCTGGCCACGAATGCGGTCGTGAGGTCGGGCGATAGAGATGCCCGGGACCTGCACCCTGCCTGCAGTCCGACGCCCTTGTGAGTGCTAGGTCGCAAGCGAAAGACATGTCGACTCGAGTGACTGTTCGTCGCGCAGACGGCAACGTTGCTGTTGCAGTACCGGTATTGAGGTGATGTCAAGCCGGACAGTGCAGCAGTGTCCACCAGCGGTGGTGTCGTGGTGCAAGGACATTATGAAAAGGCATGTGTTGTGACTTTTTTTTTATTAGAACTTGTGTAGCTGATCTCTTTGTTTTCAGGATATGGTTTGAATTAAGTTTGGAGGAATGTGGGGGTACTGACACCCCTTGTAAAGTTGTTTGCCCTGCGTATCGCACGTGTCCCGCTCAAAAGCGGCATTTCGGGTTACAACCATCGCGCGGTAGGTGGCGTTGTGTTTTCATTGAGTACCACTATCACCATCAAGGTTGTTACAGTGGTAGCGCTGGCAGTGACCCCTGGCGGAATGCAAACTTTGGTGGCGGGCGAGAGTTGAGGGAGTCTCTTCTGCGCGTGGCGATTGCCGCGAACGGTTGTCTGTAGCGTGGGTCCCCGGTGTATGGCACCGCGGGCTACACGTCGGGGACCCTCGTGGTAAGTCAAGTGTTGGCGACACCGCCTTGGGTATGTTATTGTGCTTGTCATGTTATTGTATGTTTGTCGTGTTATTGTGTTTGTCATGGAGTGTATGGTAATGTTGTGTACAGATGTCCTGGCATGTGAATAACGATTGATGTATCGATTCAGCAGACGATATGTGTGTGTATGTTGTTTGGTTTGTACTGACCGCGGCTACTATGTCCGTTCACTCCAAGAGCGTGGCATTGCTCGCTCACCATATCGAGACTCCACAACACTAATGACAAGCAGACGGCATCTGGAACAATGAACATTCAATGTGCTCCTGATAGCGTCTTCGTTCCTATTTGGCAGAGCACTTTACTTGAACATTGAGTGCTAACTGTTTTATGAACTTGATCCCAAATATTTCAATTACTCGAGCAGGAGAAACTGGTAGGCAGCATTGAGCAGCTTTCACGTAGCAAGCGCGAGTACAAAACGCAGCACCACAGCCCATCATTCTACATTACACACAGTGTGGCACTCCCAAAATTACAGGGCAAAAAGCAAAGTAAACTGCTGACTTCGTAGGCTTTATCATATCAAGTTTTTATATATAACAAATTTTTTAGGACTGATATATAATGTCTTTTAACTTATTTAGCTGTTTTGCAGGCCCTCTCTCCTGACTTGAGTGCATCAGCTGTTAAGGCATTGTGAATTTGATTATTTTTTTATTACTCTTTATGTACCTTTAGAAGTATCATTTTTTATTCCTTTACTTACTTCACATGCGTGCATGCTCCTTTTTTCCCCATTTGCAAGACGCCACAACAGAAGACTTTACTAGTAACTAGATGATGACGATAAAATAGTGAGTCTAGCAAGCAGCTCTGTAATGCAATGCAGGGTCATACCCCTATAAGAATAGCACGGGAACACTCACGCTGGCAGGTCCGGTTATTGGGCCCCAGCAAATGATGGGTGGGACATGCACACTGAAAGCCCCGCTGGCCTGGTACACCTAAGCACAGATGGGAGCAGCCCCCATTGTATACTGCGCACTGATTCCAGCCTGGAGAGAGAGAGAAAACAAGAACTCAGCAGGAATCAATAAGGGTTACCTATTTGGAATTCAGGCAGCTTGAAGGCTCACCTGCCACAAACAATAAATCATGCTTATTAACGTGTTTCTGCCAAGAGCATGGTATAAATACTCACTACACAGTTATACACAGCACTGCCACATACAAATTTGTAGTGTACGGCAATACTACTTCAGTGGGATCCCAGTTATAAAATTTTCAGGGGACCATGCAGAACCGTCGCATAATCCAGGCATGCAAAATGAACGCACTCGCGTAATTAATATACCCCCACCCCAACTTCAGTCATCATTATTTGTTTGTTCCCCCCCCCCCCCGTACAATAAGTGCACCCCCTACATTCATCCACTGCAGTCCGATAGCCCTACACCTTGAGCCTCCTTGCCTCTTAGATCTCTTCCATTTTTTTCAACTATTATGTCGACCCCCCTTGGCCACCTCGGCTCGCTCCCTCTACCCAACCGCCCTCTACATTGTTTTTTTTTTTATATCTGTGCGCAGCACGTCCCCAGCCTTTTTTGATTATTTATGTGCCAGAGCGAGGTTCGAGAATGGGGCAAGCGTAGAGACATTGCAGCTGATAGGCACACAGCGAGCGAAGGTAACGAAACTGCTTCGCCAATCGACGGTCGTTTTCTGCAAATATGTAACTTTAAGGCCCAACGACATACACCCAATTTTTTAACTACGGCGACAAAATTTGCTGTCGCCATGGCTGTCGCGAAGGGCCATTCATTGCGTTCGCATCACAGGTTTCTGGAAAACCAGAAAATATCGCTTCTTGCCTAAAAAGATTGTGCCTACTTCCACAACATGGTAGCACCCTCGATTCTTGCTTCAGTTGCAATTCGCTCTTTGTGCATGTTATATGCATGTACGTCAAGAAATGTAAGATATATTGGCTACCTTTTCTAAAGTAAATTCTTACGTGGCAGGTGGCCATAATTTTCCGTTAATCTTATTATCGGCGGATTGTTTGGATGTTTCACCAGTTGCTTCTCGCAATGTTAGTTACTTGCTACAATGTCGAAGCACATGAGAGGCTGGCATGAATCATGTGTCCTAACCACGATACACAGTGTCGCACCACTAAAACTGCTCTAAAGGACGATGCACCAAGAACAGCCAAGCATTGTGAATGCTGGCAGCAGCAAATTGGAAGAATGATGAAAACACCGAGATAAACAAAATGGAGTAAGCTTACTCTAGTATTTTTATTGATATGTACTAAAAAAAAATAACACGCATAGATTCTATTTTTGTTTTATTACGACATTTAACCTCTTTACGGGGCATGGAGAATCGCAAATCTTGGCAGAGGAGATCGTGAGTACCCAGTGCATGCATTCCTCTTGCCTGAAGAGAAATTGACCCTGTGTCGTTAGACCAAGTTGATAGGAGGTGAAAAGACTCTTCTGGCCTATTAGTACTTTACCTATTTGCTCCTGTGTAGCTCTTCCTAGCCATTCTAAAGAGAAAGAGACCCAGGAGCGTGCTTATTTGACTGTGGACATTTAACTATTTTGTTACTGTGCGAAAATGGTCCTTTTTTTTGCGTCATGGAAAAATAGTTTTTGCAAGTTTGAAAATTACTCCAGCAGGCACTGCAGCATACCAAATTTTGCACAATGAAATGCTCTTTCCAAAAAAATATAAGTTGTAGAGCAACAAAAATATTCTGGAATGTAAAGAAATGTAAAAAATGCTGCCATTTTGGTTGCCAGCTAGTAAACAGTGCCATAAAAAACCCTGCATATGCCAAAATATTCAAAACAAAGAAAAGTAAGAAACAGAATATACATTTTTAAGGTAAATGACTCATGAATAGTATAAAAAACTAATAAATGCGGTAGAAAATGTTTTATTCACACAGACAAAAAAATAGGAACCGAGGTGCTGCTTCATTGCTTGTACCATGCGGTGAAGCATTACTTGGGATTTCGTGAGACACAAGCAAATGTGTACGCTTTTCTCGGGTAAATTTTTTTTGTTTTTTGTGCGATAACAGCTTGCAGGTGTTACAATATAGTTGCGGGAAGAAAACAGATTCGAGAAGAAAAAGGACTCGATGGATTGCAATTTGAGAGCTTGGGAACTACGCCTTCTCTTGTCTTTACGTATAGCGTTATCTTTTAAAGCTTGTTTTGTTGTGCGAGATGGGGAGATTAAGAGTAGCGGCGAGGGCTTGAAGCTACTGTTGATCCCTTTTGTTACATTTACCGTGAACCTTCCTCTTGTGAAATGCGGTGAAGTGTTGCTTTCTAACTGTGTCATGCACATGCCTAAAAAGGCCTGCTTTCTGTGCAATTAGCGAATACGATTGTGGCCAAACCTAGCTTGCTCTATCATATGTTTGCATTTGTAAGTGAATCTTTTTGAACTTGACCACTTGATTTTTGATGGTGATAGAATGCTCTTGTTCTTGGCTGTTGTTTTTAAGTGTGTGATGCTCGCTGGTCACAAACGCTGTGCGAGCGTACTTCGATCTATGGGCCTGCAGAGCTGGCATAACATTATTTTATGCTACGATGCATCGATGCGAGACAGATGGATGAAAGACTTTATTGTCGACACAAGAAAAAAAAATGGAGGTTGATTCAGAAATGTACACAAACTTTCATTGCCTGTTTCGTTGCTGGCATTGTCTTTTTTACCTCTTAATAATAATGCCGTGCAGCATGTACAATTATGACCTAGTAGGTAAAATCAAAGCAGAGATTTCAGAAGTGCCATGCCCCAAAACTAGTCCAAACTGTGCCATGCAAAAGTTTATTTTGTTAGACACGATGCGCACACGTGGTACTGATACCTGCGCATTTCTCAACTTTAGACAAAAATGCAAGTTGGTTGATAAGTGTTTACGGCCGCAATCTGCAATAACGAAATCTTGAGGGAACGAAATTCTCACTGCAACTAAATATTTTCGGAGCACCGGCGAACACCCATAGGAGTCACTGCATTTTGTAACTCGTGACTATGAAAAATACTCATACCACAGCCTCACATTAACGAAATTCTTGAAACACGAGTGTGCCAATAGTTTACTCTCGCAACATTTACATTCGAAAACTGCTGAAATGCATTCATGCTACACTTAAATTGTGCAAAACTATCGCTCGCATCGATGCGAGACAACACCGCCAAACCTACGATGCTCACAACGCTTCTACAATTCCAGGTGCTGCTGTACCTGGCGCCTGGAGCCGTTTGCCTTTACATCACCACCCAAGTTCTCTCCGGAACCACCTACCTGCCCGAAGAAAGTTCTCCACCCGCCGGACATCCCCCCTCCAAGTTAATTGTCACAAACCACCCGCTTTTAGCACGAGCCTGGCACACCGCCTGGCAACCTTGGCCCTCTCCGACGCCAGCAACCACGGGACCAGATCGAGCGCTACATAAGCAGCAAGGAATCGCCGGCTGCTCGGGGCACAACACCGCCAAACCTATGATGCTCACAACGCTTCTACAATTCCAGTTTGTTACCTCACCTGCTTAAAAGAATTCAGAAGTGATGACATATGTATACTGGCGGTGTCGTGCCCCTACGACTTGAAATGTCGCGGAGTGGTGCCGTTGTGTCGCGATGCGTTTGTCCTCCATTTGCTGTGTGAAATTTTGTTATTACTATCGAGTGATGTTGAGGTTAACCCCAGACCCTCCCCTAGTGCTGAACTTTTACCTGTCTGTGACGCTATCAAACGAATAGAAAGTGTTCAAGCCGCAATTCGTGTAGATCTTGAACATATTAAATCAACACAGACTGCCCAAAAAAAACTTATAGCTGAGATTCTGAGCCGCTCCAATGCATTAGATTCATGCCAACCAAACCAAAGTACCACGACCATTGTTAACACTTTTGACCGACTAGAGCATGCCATTACTACCTTAAAAGCCGCGAACATTGACACTAACAACCGTATGTGCCGAGACAACCTTCTTTTCTTTGGCATTGATGATTACGATAATGAACCTTGGAACGACTGAGAAAACAAAATTCTAGACCTGTGCAAAAATACTCTCGACCTAATCCTAAGCCCCAGCGATATAGAGTGTGCACACCGCCTTGGAAAATTTTCGGCAACAAAAAAATGCGCTATAATAGTAAAACTAGCTCACTTCAAGACAAAAGAAAACATATTAGTAGGCGGGCGGAAGCTGAAAGATACATGTTTCGCAATAAGAGAAGATTTTGCCCCAAGTACGCGCCTTGCATGCTCTATATTGTTAAAATTTGTCAAACCCCCAAAATGCGCATTTAAGCTCAGCCTTGGCAAACTACACATAGGTAGCAGACGCTACTTTTACGACGCCGCATCCAATAGCGTTATCGAACACCCCTCAGCACCAAACAGAACTACACTCATAATCATCATCATCAGCCTGACTATGTCCACTGCAGGACAAAGGCCTCTCAAATGTTCCGCCAGTTAACCCGGTCCTGTGCTTGCTGCTGCCATTTTATACCCGCAAACATCTTAATCTCATCTGCCCACCTAACCTTCTGTCTCCCCCTAACCCGCTTGCCTTCTCTGGGAATCCAGTTAGTTACCCTTAATGACCAGCGGTTATCCTGTCTACGTGCTACATGCCCGGCCCATGTCCATTCTTCTTCTTGATATCAGCAATGACATCCTTAACCCCCGTTTGTTCCCTAATCCACTCTGCTCTCTTCTTGTCTCTTAAGGCTACACCTACCATTTTTCTGTCCATTTCTCGCTGCGTCGTCCTCAATTTAAGCTGAACCCCCTTTGTAAGTCTCCAGGTTTCTGCTCCGTAGCTAAGTACCGGCAAGATACAGCTGTTATATACCTTCCTCTTGAGGGATAGTGGCAATCTACCTGTCATAATTTGAGAGTGCTTGCCAAATGTGCTCCACCCCATTCTTATTCTTCTAGTTACTTCAATCTCGTGGTTCGGCTCCGCGGTTATTACCTGCCCTAAGTAGACATAGTCTTTTACAACTTGA